GTTTTTTTAACTAAACATATAAATTTGGTAAATCGTTGATTAGTGCTTACAATCTCAAAACTTATTGACAGCAAACTACAGAAACAATTACCAAGAAAATATTGCTCCTGAGCCTAGCATTTTTTAAATTTTTTGTTGTGTTTTAGCTAATTTTCTAACGATTTCACCGTCAAGCCATTTTTTACTCTGTTAGGAGGTGCATCGTTTACGTTTCCATCGACCCACAATACATATGTTTACCTATAGGTACTTTTTAGGGTAATTATTATTAAAATAATGATAATAATATGATATGATGACATAAATAATACATGTTACTTGTAACATTTTCTAAATAAAAATTGTAAATGTTTTCTTTTTAAGTTTTACTTACCTGCCAACCTTTTTTATTTATTTTGTTAATAATAATATCAGTAAATATAAAGTTTTATTTAGAACCTCAGAACTGGACGTTGTAGTTAACGCCAAAGTTTGTTTTTTTTATTTAGGTAAAGCAGTTTACAAACTTAAAATTACTGGTAGTAACTACTTTTTAAGAGTTTAAACTCTTGAAAAGTATATAATTAAAAGCTATACTGATTTACATATTTTTTAATCAGTTGTACTCTTAAAGGGTACTAGCAGTAATTTTAAGGTTGTAAGCTGCTTCACATAAATAAAAATAAACAAACTTTGACGTTAATTGCTACGTCCAGTTTTGAGGTTCTAAATAAAATTTTAAATTTACTAATTTAGTATCGTAATTTTACATAAAATCTGTAGACAGACCTTAAGTAAAATCACAGTAAGTATGTTGTAATATTACAGTAATGTTTACGTATCTATTTTACATAAGACCTGTAAAATTACAGAACATCAGTAGTTTTACGTTATGAACCTATTACAGAAATTCTGTGATTTTATTTAACATATGTAATCCTTACAAAGCTACTGTAATTTTACTAAACAAATTGCAGGCAACAAATAACCCACATTTTGTTCAGTAAATTTACAGAAATCCTTTTTTCAGTGTGTTACACTGAAAGAAGTCTATGTGTTATTACACAATTTCTTCTGTATTTATTACAAAACTGTTTCTGCAAATTAATATTTACGTTAAATACAATGTGGATTAACACAATATTCCGGAAATATACAGAGTTCAATGTATTTGTACAATATATCCTTTATATTTACAGAGTGCAGTTTAACTACTCATAAAAATTATTGTAATTTTACAAAGTAATATGTGACAACACAAGCATTCTGTGATTTTAGAGCTTGCTCTGTAACTTTACAGAATCCACGTAATAAACTGACCAGAGAACTGATGTGGTCACGCTTTATCCAGTATTCAGTGTCTTGTTTATCTGCGTTTCTGTGAAAAGTATAGGTAAGTCAATACATTAAAGTATGCACCTATATGTACTTAATATTTTTATTAAAAAATGGTACAAGCTTTTATAGTAGGTACAATTGCAGATACCCGTTTTTTTAACTAACCATATAAATTTGGTAAATCGTTGATTAGTGCTTACAATCTCAAAACTTATTGACAGCAAACTACAGAAACAATTACCAAGAAAATATTGCTCCTGAGCCTAGCATTTTTTAAATTTTTTGTTGTGTTTTAGCTAATTTTCTAACGATTTCACCGTCAAGCCGTTTTTTACTCTGTTAGGAGGTGCATCGTTTACGTTTCCGTCGACCCACAATACATATTATGTTTACCTATAGGTACTTTTTAGGGTAATTATTATTAAAATAATGATAATAATATGATATGATGACATAAATAATACATGTTACTTGTTACATTTTCTAAATAAAAATTGTAAATGTTTTCTTTTTAAGTTTTACTTACCTGCCAACCTTTTTTATTTATTTTGTTAATAATAATATCAGTAAATATAAAGTTTTATTTAAAACCGCAGAACTGGACGTTGTAGTTAACGCCAAAGTTTGTTTATTTTTATTTAGGTAAAGCAGTTTACAACCTTAAAATTACTGGTAGTACCTACTTTTTAAGAGTTTGAACTCTTGAAAAATATATAATTAAAAGCTATACTGAGCAGTAATTTTTAGGTTGTAAGCTGCTTCACATAAATAAAAATAAACAAACTTTGACGTTAATTGCTACGTCCAGTTTTGAGGTTCTAAATAAAATTTTAAATTTACTAATTTAGTATCGTAATTTTACATAAAATCTGTAGACAGACCTAAAGTAAAATCACAGTAAGTATGTTGTAATATTACAGTAATGTTTACGTATATATTTTACATAAGACCTGTAAAATTACAGAACATCAGTAGTTTTACGTTAGGAACCTATTACAGAAATTCTGTGATTTTACTTAACATATGTAATCCTTACAAAGCTAGTGTAATTTTACTGTACAAATTGCAGGCAACAAATAACCCACATTTTGTTCAGTAAATTTACAGAAATCCTTTTTTCAGTGTATGAGTGAGACGTACACAATATTCGCATAAATTGATTAAAACTCATTACTCGTCTCTTGATGATGCTATTAGCAGTTAAACTTGGTAAAATGTATTCGATATTCTACGACACTTCCTTGCTAACAATAACGATTATAAACTCTACAGGGATTGATGTATTCTAAATTTCTCGAAAAAAATGATTATACAAACAAAAAGGCAATAATATCTATACAAAATATAATTTCGTAGGTATCTAGAACATTAAAAAAATATTTGACATTTTGACAACATTGTAGCTGCTAAAATAGGTGAGAAACAATTTTGTTTTCGCGACGACTTTTACATAGATACATTATATATCAGAATTGTGTTATAAAACTAATTTCAAACACAGTTTAATTTTATAGGTATGTCGTAAGGGATAAAAATGATTTAATTCAAATCGCCATGTTTTTCGTTGTTCAAATCAAAATGAACTTTATATTTGAGGCAACCATATTGTTATAAATACGAAAAATCACATTAATATCGATAAAGTCTATTGAAAGTTTCGATTGTAACATCGGATTTGGCATTTAGAGTGCAACAAAACGCAATGCAATATTTTTTTAATTTTATTAGAAACAAAAAAAATAAAAAATAATAATATTTTTTTTTTAAATTTGGTAAATATGAGCAAAATTGGAAGCGCTTTAAAATTTAACCACAAATATATATGTATAATGTCAGTAAAGTTGACGTGGTAAGAGTATTTTACAATCAGAGCCGTTAATATTGTTCATGAAGTTATTATATACTATCCAAAGCCTGTGAAATTCATCAAGCCGCCATCAACCAAATAATTTAGGAGAGCATCATGAGAGCATTTAACAAATCATTTTTGTCGCCATTATTATCGTATAAAAATAAAAATAATGTTTTTCGTGATTCTTACAAAATCAAAATGTCATCGCTAAGTTGTTAAAGTCCTATGCAACACAGATTGATTTTAAATGAAACGTTTTTAATGCTGCTATAAAATTATTTTATAAGTATTCTGTAATGGTGTTTTACCACTAATAACCTTTTGAAACGATACTTATAAAATATTTTTATAGTATTCTCAAAGAACACAAAAATGTTGTTTAGGATCATCCGGGACCTCACTTACAGCTCTATTAAAAAACTGTTATGTAACGTTTTTATAAAATGCTAAATATTGTTATATAATTATCATGGGCAATCATTATATAACGTCTATCGGATACAATTGTTTTATAAACTTGCGCCTTTTCCATGTTTATAAGCGCCATATTAAAGGTTACCAGTTATTTTTAAAATAAAAGTGTTATATTAAAAATTGTTATATAGTAAGGTATATGACAATTTTCAGCGCGTTTGTGCTACTTGGGATGGACCATAGTTATTGGACATGGTCTGACTTTTGAAATAGTTTGTCGCAAATATCATTAAGTGTGGTATCTCTAGTTTGTGAAGCATTTATAATGTTTAGGCCGGAACAGGATGATTTATATATATCTAATATTTTTTCTTGTGGTATGTTAAAAGTATTTTTCGAATTTATTAATTTTGTTGCCATTAGTTTTTTATGTTCTCTATCATGCACTGTATTTAAATCACTGTTATTCTGCAAGATGTCCTGTGACGAAGAAATCACTATATTACTTACTCTCTAAAAATGAATTAGTCAAAAATGTCATAGCGAAAAGCAGCCACTAATAATTATCGTCAACAGCAATTTGTATCCACGACATTTAGCAGTCAATTCCTATGAAATATTATTCGCTGAATCCTAAAATGTCGTCAAAAGTTATAAAAGTAGGACAGTTTTTGAAATATAATCAATTTTATATATAATATGGAATTGACTATATCTCAAAAACTGCCTAACTTTTATAGTTTTTGACGGTCTTTTTGAATTCAGGGAACAAATTTACATAAGAATTGGCTGGTAAATGTCCGGGATACAAATAGAGTATGATATTGGACATATGTCCAATAATAGAAATGTACATTTTTACCAATCAGTAATTGAACACTGGCCATTTTACTGTTTGTTTTCAGAATTAAATTTAAAACGCATTAAAGTGACAATGTTTAAACTATGAGGAACACATTTAAACCACACACTTTTTAGAAATATTTTTATTGTAATTTAAACAAAGCCCTACTCTTAACAAAAAAACAAAAATCTTAGCACCAAAGTAACGTGCGAACTTTTTTGTCCTATATTGGACCCAAAATAAAGTAGTTTTATATTATTACCGACTGAGATAGTTATAATTGTATACAGCGTCATCTAATGATTTGACTTTTAACTATTTATAGAACCCTTTTTTACAGTATTAATGTTAATTGTCCAATAACTGTCTACATTACATTTACACTACCCTATAAATTGTATAAAACTATAAAAGAATATTTAAAAAAATGAACGATTTAATAAAAATACGGTTAAATATGAAATACACCCAAAATAATTAATTCAATACTATTTCCGAATGCTACAGTTACAATTGAGCATTCAAATGGACATTACTATTTTCCGTGACTGTACATTAATGTTTCTATTTCAGATTGGTTTTTGTTTGTTTCAACGTCTGCCACCACTTTGCTTCAAGCGAATATACAGGGGTGTATCCGATAGCTGGGCCCACTTTCAGAGACTGCACCTGCGATTTAGTGGAAGAAGGTTCTAAGTGCACATGCTGTGGTCCGTTGTTCATCGACATTCCGACAAACCTAACCGACAATCTTTTATCATTGTAAGAAGAATTATTTTTCGTTTACAGCCAAAATTCGATGCTTTAAAATGTTTCAGAACTATAGAGGACGCTGGTATAGAAGTTCTCAAGACGGATTCACTAAATCCTTATGCATCAAAATTAAGAGAATTGTAAGTACAGTTAATTTTTTTTATTTGGACTTGTTATATAATTACGCAACGCGCGCGCCATCTGGTGGACTTCAAAAGCATTGCGTGAATTTAAGAATTGTCAACAATACATTTAAAGCATACGAACTGAACATCATTTTTAAATAAATAGGTAGTTTTTTCACAAAAGAGAGGAAGGCAGAAGTCTTACTCGACAAATTTTGTTCAAATGCACAGCTAAATCGCGCACGTTATTTGTGTTTTACGTTGCAAGGAAAAAACTAAAAAACTGGTTTAGTATTCGATTTCGACTGATTATTCTTTATATCATTGATTAAGAAATTCAACGCTTAAATGCTTATATAGTTAGGTTAGTGTGTGTATTTTATCTAAGGGATCAAGGTGAATTATTGTGTTTTTAATTGTAAATAAAATTCAAGAACTAAATCGTTGCATTTTTATGTTTCGTTAAGTAAATTTAGATTATAGAATTAACTAATGATAACTTTACCTAATATAATTCATATTTAAGTTTGGACATTTTTAAGAAATTGGTAAAAAATAATTTTTGCACAAACATAACCTTAAAATCAACCATTTTTATATTTGAGTTCTCTAAAAAACGCCGACAACTGCATTTTAAACAACAAAATATACCTTCGAATTCATGGCAACATAATATTATATATAATACATAATATAATGGTATTTTACCGTTGAGTGGAGACTTTCTTAATCAACCATTTTAATAATGCTATGTGCTGTTTAAATTTAGACGACTTATTTGTTTGACGATTTTTACTGAATTGAAATGTTTACACTTTTCAAGTTAATCACTACTAAAATGTGTATTTATTGTATCTAATAGGTAAAATTTATATTTACAGAGAATGTATGCAATTTATTTCTTCATTTAGATTAACACTGTTTATTGGAAAACCGGTAAAAACTCAACCCAGGATTTCCTCTTGAAATACACCCAACAACACAACAAATCGAGCCACGGTTTTTTGTTATATTTTTTTAACATTTTCCGGCTTTATTCTCAAAAACACTCGTTTGTAACATAAGCGTTTGACAGCTGATTATTAAAAGTTGTACTTTTGTTACGATGATTCTTTAGCGTATAATTACATTTATAACTAGTTTAGTTGGTTTTAATCAATGCAACCAATTTTGTTAGCAACCATCAACATAGGTTGATATTATACATACTATCTGGCAAAAGGTGGTATTATCATTTCTCCTGGGACCGGCCGTCTAAACGATTTCGTTCGATCTATGACCTGAATTTCAATGGGAAAATTGATAAATGTATAAAGTAATATTTGCATATGTAATATACCCATCAAAAAGTTTCATACAAACACTATTAAGGCTTAAAATAAACTTTCCAGCGAAAGCATACTAAACAGATTATATTCTCGGAATATAAAATATTCGAATCTGGAGCCGTTTTAATCCATGGATTTAATAAAAATTATACAGTGTGACCCATTTATTTGCGACTCACCAATGTAAAATCTTTATTTATTGTGCCATTTTAACCGGATTTGTTTTAAAGTGTAGATCTTGTTAAACTGTTTTTTTGCAGTTGAGGCCTCATCATAGAGAATTAAAAAATTAAGTATAATTTAAATATTTTACTTTCTATAATATACTATACATTTTTAATATTTGGATTACATGAATTGTGAAATAGTCAATAAAATTGATTGATTTTATACGTGGAATACCCAGCAACATTTAAATTATTTGAATTTGAAACGACCGCAATTTAAACTAATATTTATAGCTAGATGATTGGCTCAGAAGCATGCCTGAACTAATTTAGACTCACGATTGGCGTTAGCCTTGTTGTCTCGTTCTATTACAATGCGATATCATAGTTGTTTCCTTTTCTCGTATTAGAATACGCGAGGCAGGCACGCCTACATCCAAGGAAATAAGCAGGTGTTGTTGCAACACTGTTGCGGAATTTTAGATAAATTATACATCACACGTTTTTCAAAATTCAATAATAAATGGTATTATTTTTCTAATAATAAATCGATTTAATCGAAATTATATTTCTATTCTAAAATAAACATATTTTAACACTATCGCCATCTTGTAGCCATCACAGTAACCAATAAAATAAATACAGATTCCTTCTTTAGGTTTGTTTTGGTTATAAAATTCTGAACTGTTTAAAGAACAAATCTGTGGTTATTTACGCAATATTTTGTTTTTTCTTTTTCTATGAGTTTGTCTATTTTATGATTCTTTTGTAAGTGGTTTATTCTGTGGGTTTAGTTAATTGAACTTGGTGATTTATGTGAATTTAGTCATTATGGATATTACGGTGAGAAATTGTACCGATATTGTTGACCTTCAGGTGGTTCTTGCTGAACAATGAAATATTAATTAGACAAAAATGAGGTTTATTTAAAATAAACGTCATTTTAACAATAAAAATATATTTCATTGACAAAGTAGAGGATTCCTTCCCCACCACAGTCTAAGTTTTTTACTTAGTTTTAAGTATAGATTGTGAACTGCGACGTCAGTTTTTTTACGTTGGGTTTAAAAAAATTTCTTTGCCTTTAAATGAGGGCGAAACCCTGCCTCTGCCTCACCAAAATGAAATGTCACGGGCCGCCACTGACGAATAGGGATCTTTACTTACTTATATATTATTTTGTAAATAAACATTTTACTAAGCTTCGTCTTTACAAAATTAATTGATAAATAGGAACATTTGGGAAACATTTCTAAATTTGTAAAGTAAAAAAAAACAGTAATTCGTTAAGCGTTTTTATTTAAGGACATTAGTCAATTTGGAGAAATTCTACTACTTCGAAACTGGAGTTTTCCAACATTTGAAGCATCTGCAAACAATGTAAGCTATTTTATGGAATGGCCATCCAATAGTGTAGAATAATAAAAATAAATTTATTTTTTTAGTTACATACACCGGGCTCCCAAACTGCTGAAAATTCAACCAGAGGTGTTTAGTGCTTTCCTGCCCAACCTGAAAATAATGTGAGTTCAACTAATTTTGTTAATTATTTATTTATTTTTTCACCGATGTTTTTGTTTTTAAACTTTTCAGAATACATTCTGATAGCTGCAGATGCCTTGTTTATTTACATAGTTTTATATTTAAATGTATTTTAAGGTTTAGAATCAGAATAAGAACAAAAAAACGATTTGTAATAAAAAAAAGATTGATGCAACATTTTCTTGGCAAAAAATTTGGGTCTAATGAAATTTGAAGGGAATTTTAGGCATATTACAGGAAATAGGTATGCTCGTCAAAGAAAATTTTGTTATAAGGGTTCCCTGACGAAGGAAAAAGTGTATGGCGCCCCATTGTAATTTAGATTGCAATATTTGCTGGACAAAAGTCTATATAAACTCTCTATTAACGCAAATTTTTTAGTTAATAAAAATATAATTTTCTGGTAAAATGACAATGTAACTTTTACGAAAAAATGTTTAAAATAAAAATTAAATCATTCGAGGGGGGAAATCAATCAGTACTCATACTCTCCTCCTTATAGGGGAAACAGGGGGTAACATTAAAATTTCCAATGGAATACTTTATTTTTTATTGCAGATTCGACTAAAAATAGGTAGATTTTGTCAAAAACATTTTTTTATATGCGCTGTAATGAAAAAAATCAATTTTGTTCGATTTTTAATTCTTATACCATTCTGCAATAATTTTTCTATAAAAATATCACTTTTTTTAGGAATAATTATCTTATTAAATTAAATCTAACTTTTTTAAGTACCCACGATTTTTTAACTAATATTTAAGTTTCCTTTGGTTTAAGTTTGATACATTATTTCATTCGGTGATAATTATCAATTGCGCACCATGGTCACTTTTTACCTGCCAGCATTAAATCCTTTAATTTAAAGGATTATTGTACTATTTTTAATAAATATACCTCATGTAAGGTTAAAAAACATTATTTTGTCAATTAATTAATCCTAATTGAAGTATAAAAAAATGGTATTTAGTTATAAATAATAATTATTATTGTGGTATAAAGAAACTATTTATAGTTTAGCATTAATTAATAAATTTAGTTCGAAGATTAATTTGCAAACAAAAAGATCTCCTTTCGTTAAACAGTTATTCATAATGGATTTTTTAACAGTGGAAGAAAAAATAGAAACGATTTTGATTTATGGAGAAGCAGGCAGGAATCTTGATGATGCTGTTAATATCTACGCTCAGCGTTTTCCGGAAAAAATTCGATCACGTACTTCATTTCACCGCACAGTCAAGCAGTTTACTACAAACGGGAGTGTTTAACCGAAAAAAAGAGTTCGTCGAGCAACAGTCACAGGTGGAAATAATGAAATTAATGTATTAGCAGCAACGGCCGCTAATCCTCTATTCTATTATATAATATGAAATATGAAAAAATGTTTTAGACAAAATCTACCTATTTTTAGTCGAATGAATATGAATATAGTGATTTGGATTGACAAGATTGTTTACATTTTTTAATATAATGTTCATTATTTAATATTTTTCTCATTTTACAGAAGAATTGTTTACACCGGTTTGGAAGAAATGCCAAATTTAAATGAACTTAATACATCTTCGGTTCTTCATATGATGTAAGTATGTTTCTTCCCGTATACTACATACTGAAAAAGTATTAAAATGCTTTTAATGGAAACATTAACCAATTAAATGTTTGTTGGTTTTTTGACAGTAAGCAAGCCTATCCAAAATTTTTCTGAGAACGTTTTGTACTTCTTCACGAATTTGGTTTTTCAAGTTTTTTAAATTTTGTGATTTAAGTTAGCCCCATTAATGCATTAAAATAATCGAGGGGTGAGATCTGGTGATCTTGCTGGCCAATGTATATTTTAATACATTTAAAATTTATACTTTGGGTGAATAAAGCCATATTAAAATTCACTCTTATAACGTACTGCCAACAATACTTCACGCTACATAAGTTCGTGCAAGTTTCGGTGTTTAGTTACAATAAGCCGGCAAACTTAGAGACTAGACTCTCCCTAGGGTAGTCCTCTAATTTTACGACGTTTTTGTTTCAGAGACTTGGAACACAACCGCATACAGAAGATTTTCACCCGGCAAGTCAACAGGGTTAAAGCTGAACAATTGTGAGTATGTGTTTTTAATTAAAAGACGTTAGATTTATTTCTTCATTTTGTTCATTTTATAAAATTTGATTTAACAATGATTTATAATTTCTATGCACGGTGGTCAAAACTTAAGTATAGGACGAACAAAAATGCCAACCAAAACTGATAGCATATTTTGATTATAGACCCTTTTAGTATCCTATTTTAAAGTTTTGCAAACTTTTTTGTTTTTCTATTTCTATATATTATTTTGCAATAATAGAAATAGAAAAATATTATTATAATTATTATTGTACTAAAACTACCTGTACAATTTTAGTAAAATTAAGCAAAATAATAAACTTCGTATCATTTAAATTACTTTACTCCCCAGTATTAATTTATTGAGTCACCTATTATTTTTTACCACTCAAAACAAAACATAACAAAAAAAACGAAGATTTATATCTTAAATATTTTTTATAACAAAAAATACTGGAAGTTTGTCTATGAAATAATTACAACTTGCAAATTTTAAGGTAGTTATGAAAAAAATTGCTATACGTTATAACGCAAGTGACATTTTGCTTTAGTTGTTTATTTAATGTATACTTTATTAAGTTAAAAATAGTATTTTAAAATGAAAATTAAACCGAAATTCAAGTTAAGCCATGAAGAAAATCGAAAGAAGGTATGTGCTGGCTGTGGATACAAAATTTTTTTTTGGTAATCGAAAAATTCAAAGTTTAGGGTTTCTGAGAAAATATAAAAATTACTGCAGACTTTTTCAAACGAACACTTTAACTTAAGTGATTCAAAATTACCTACTTCAATATGGTAAAAACGGTATTCTTCCATAGCCACAATTGCCAAATTTTCAAAATTTAGAAATTGCTAAAGAATTTCGCGGCAGCCAAGAATGAATGTGCTTTATCTGCAAAATGGCAAGATATAAAGGGCATAAAAAATTATTAAGGGAAGAGGACGGACAAACGAACTAAATTTTTGATATGCTCTTCCTTTCTAGGAGATATCGCTAGATGTAAGAAGCATGTTTGAACAGAGACTGAAGAATTTAAAAATACTGTTTCCATGTTAAAAACAATTCCATGTAAAACCCAAGAAAAAGTTTTACTGAAAATTTAAGGCAAGCAGTAATCGATTTTGCTTCAAAGAATCTTTAGTTATTTATTAGTTTTGTATTAGATACCTTAAAACAATAAATAAGATATTGCAAACTGTATTTTACATTATTTTGTATTTATAATGTAATTTATACATATTTCAGTCATGTATCTGCCAAATTTTTAAAAACATTTGATAAAGGTACTAGAGTATTTTATCGAAATGGCATAAACAATTTTAAAATACTAAGAAATATGCAAAACTTTAATAAAGGATCAGCTGGGATTTTGATAAATGCATTTTTGTGTTACCAAAAGAGTCTATAATCAGATTATGCTATCAGTTTTGGTTGGCATTTTTGTTCGTTCTATACTTTAGTTTTGACCGCCGCGGCGCGCCGTGTATATAAAATGTCCAATTACTATACTTTTTTGCATGTTTTTATAAAACTAGTATTAAAAATTCAAATATTCTTATTTTTAAGTAAACGTAAATTATATGAATATATTTTCGTAATTTATTTTTCAGAATATTAAACTACAACGACCTACAGGTGGTTGAAGAGGCGGCCTTCTCGGGATCCCAAATAGCAGAATTGTAAGTACCTACTTAATTAAATTTTTACTTTGTACACTTTAACGCAACACAGGGCAAAATATTTCTTGTATTTCTAAAATGCATTTAGATTGCGATTTCATAAATTATTTCAGCACTTGAATTCGTTTTCAAACCGAATCGATTTTAATCACGACCGGATATGCCTCCTGTCTTGCCAATTACTAAAAGAACAATATAAATCTCGTTTTTCAGTCATGTATTGTTTTCTACATCGATCAATATTGGTGTAAATTTAAGATTTTTAAATTTAAATGTATTTGTATTTGGGCTTCACGGAGGTTAGGATTTTGTATGTTTTTTTTAAACATCCCTTTGTATATTTGAAATAAGTTATTGTATATTTTGACACCTTAATATTTTTAAAAAATACAATATTTATAAAAAAAATCTACTTACTGAGATATTACAATTCACGGTGGATAGGTTTTTAAATAGCAAATTAATGAACTTTTGAATTATAAAACATCTGCATATAAATTCTAACTGACCTTCAGGAATCACATGCATCTATAATGTCATAAACAGAGGTTTTGCTTATTTAAAATGATAAAAGCGCCATCCGTTGCATAACATTTAAAGCAAAAACAGATTCACATAGGATAGAATCAATTTTTGTAACACCTACATAAATGGTTATAAAAATTATTTCTTTTAATTTTTAATAATATTTTATATTTGATTCGATTGCTTTGGATGTGTTTAATTTACTTGGTGGTACTTGGTTTGTATAGAAAGAGTAACAGTCACGGAGGATAGGTTTTAGACTTTTAAGCATTGTAAAAAATAATTAATTGCGGTTAAAAATCTGGAATCTGAGCTGTATTATCTACTTAATTATGAAAGATCAAAACACAATAAAAGTGTAGGTCGAACTCATTTAGTTTTATTAAACATTTCGTGAGATTCACCCATTTGTATTTATTTTCTAGGAGTCTAAAGGGAAACTTCCGACTGACCAGCCTTCATCAAAAAGCGTTTCATGGTTTGGAAAGCTTAAGGCACATGTAAGAATCTTTAAAATATTTCTTGAAGTGCAATATTACGCTCTGTTTATTTTTGTCTGCTGATGGCACATGCATTCGTTACCGAATTTGTTCACAATAACACAAAAACACTGCTAAAGTTGCAAAGTAGACGTCTATAACAATTCCTTAAAGTCTATTTGCTTTTTAGCATTTCAAATTAACATATTATTCGCATTAAAATAGTGTTTAGTTCTTATTGTAAGCCATTTGCATTATCTTAATGATGATTACACCTAAACGAAAAATGCCTTACAGAGTTACAAAAATGGCGGATGCACTAATTTGTATAAATTAAATTTTTATACCATTTACAAGATCGAGAGGCAAAATGATAAAGAGATTTTTAAATGTCCTTGTCTTTTCGAATTTTTTTTTTGACCTCGCTTCGATGCGTGCATTGCTGGGATTTTTGCACATAAAAAACGTTTTGATAAAGTCAATAAATAACAATGGTATAATTGATTGTCTTTTAATTTCTCCAATAAAAGTTTATTCAATTAAATATGTTAAATATAAAATTGATTTATATTAAAAGTTATTATGCTTCAACCAAAAATTAAAAACAAATGAAATAACAATAGTCTTTGTTTCTTTTAATGTTTATGATTTTTATTCCAATGGAACCTAAGGTAAAGTAAGTTATTACTGTCTTACAGTGAATACCAATGCTTTCACTGTCTTGAAAAATACTTGTTATTTGCCCAATTATCATCCCATTTTTTCAATGCGGCCTATATTTAATTTAATGATTGCTAAAATTCAAACAAACCCTGCCACACCACACATCGGCAACCTGCAATCGCGTACGTGCCTATAGTATATGGGTTATTTCTGGTGTAGGTAGTGTTTGGTTGTTTGTTATATTTGCTAATTTCTTGGGGGTTGTACTCTCCAATCCCGAATTTTCAAGGTAAGTTGTACATGTTTTTTAATTGTATGCCCGCCATGCATTATCCAGTAATTTAATTACTCAAATATATCTAAATGATAACAAAAAGGTAAATGTGTATTCATATAGTTTTATACTATGGACACAGTTTATCTTGATATTCGGTGTCATGCCTTAAAATGGCTATTTTTCTTAAATGGACGAGGTTTATATTTATTTATAAAAAACTTCTCATGGCCTTTCAGTACCATCATGATATCCTTGCAGGGTGTCCTGAAAGTATACATTGCTTTAGGACGTTCAGCAATCTTTAGGATTCGCCTCTAAATACATAAGATGAAATTCCTATTTCGTTTTAGAATAACCATGTGCCATGGCAGACAGATTCTGCACATCCAGTACAGTAACTGTTGCTAGTGATGGGTCAGCAACTTTCTTAGAGCCTAATATCACCAACCCTTCTAGTGGGTTCCTAATAGTTCCTACAGAAAACAGAACAATTTCATTTTATGGATCGAAAAACCTGTGTACACAAGACTACCAGAAGCAGTTTCCAGAATTCATTTTATTTAAATTTCATATTAATGTATTATACAACTAATATTTGCACAAGAATATACATATTTAGAGGAATTAGAGCTTTGATTGCTTTTAATGTAGCTATTCATTAGAAACCATAATTTCTTATGTTTTAACTTGACCATAGCTATAATTCAGGTATTGCAAATACAGTACACCATTGGCTCAATGAGTATACCATTCACAATATGAAAGCTTTTCAATGAATTTCTTCATACTTTAGCCAGTCACTGTACTTTATTTGCATAATATTGAATGTTGGGCACAAAGACGTAAACATTTATCAGTTGATGTAACTTATTGCAGAGATTTATCGAGCACGGCCATAACTACGCTTCCAACTGAAGGTCTGCGAGAAATTGACGTTCTAAAAGTGGAAGATACAAAAACTTTAAAAGTTTTTCCATCAATATTTAGCTTTCAGGTAATTTCAGTTATTAATTTTGATTGCATGCTTCTTCCAGATGAAATTTTCAGGTATTTTTCTTTTTTGCTCCTCAGACGTGACGAGACGGAAAAAACGCAATAAATAAAAGTTTACTTTTGCGTTTTCAAAAGTTTCGAAAGTTTTTCCGAATGGCTTAATTTTAATATTGTGAGGATGGAAATTTTTTATGTTCGTCAAACACTTAATGGGCATAAAAGACAAATAAAATAAGGAATTTACAGGGCGATATGGTTCTGAAATAACGACAAACGCATAAAATTTAAATGTCACCATAAATATTAAATAACTTCTCACAATAAATTGTACAAGTGGTATTCGTTGATGTATTAACATCATCGATTGGTTACAATGTAATTTTATACATTTATACTTATTTGGATATAATTTCATATTTTTTAAATGCAATCACCCTCTAATAAAATATACACTATTCTTGGCGATACCATATTTACTTTTGAATTAAATATTAGGTATCTTTATCTAAGTTAAGCAATAATTGTTTCATATATTGTCTATTGTTTTTTTCTAAGACTGATAAAGAAATATAGATAGGATAATCCACTCTTTACCTTTTAAAATAAAGATGGTCATTATATCCTAACCTTTAAAGCCGAGCAAAAGTTAAAACAAGAATAGACAATGTTTGAAATAATTATTGCTTATGCAATGCATTGTCTTTATTACAGAACTTTTTTACAATGTTTCAAATACCTATCTACCTATATGGGTGATTCTACAAAAGTTGGGCAACTTTTGACCTTATTTCGTTTATATAGTTTTCTGAGAAAATTAAACAGTATTTTGTTATGAGAACATAGATAATATAATAAATATACTGTACCAGACCGGGCCAGTCACTTTTTCAAACAGTTTCTGAAATATATGTGTTTTCTAAATTTGAATGCAAGGGAAGTAACGAGTATACCAGGGTACTAATTAAATACATAATTTATTGGAAAATATAAGATTTATTGCAACTTTGAGCAAATTATACATTAAATATCTTAAAATCAAATAATACCACACATCAGTGGCGGCTGGTGGATTTTGGGTATACCGATATCTCAATTATTAGATATGGGACCCACACCAAATTTGATGACATATAATAATAATAAACAAGTTCTGCGAAAGCAGAATTTAAATTAAAGCTTGGGAAAAAAAGATAACCGAAACATCGAACATGGAACTGACGACACGGTACTGATGAATGGGATAAAAATTTGAGATTATAATTCGGAATTATGTATTTTACTGATATTTTTTATTAGTGGATGCCACTTATCAACAAATCACATATAGCCTTATATAAATTACAACGAAATATAAATACGTAAGAAAATAACTACTCACCACAGAACTGAAATTTTGACTGGAACTATACGTGCATTCACCACAACTTCTCCGCTTGCATTGTTTTCAAGATGACTGTCGGGCAAAGGGCGGGCTCTGTAGGTAATTTTTTACCAACACTTAAGTTAAAACGAGGACTTGAGGTTTAAACTTCAATATTTCGCAGGAATTTTGAATTTTAATAATAATAATTATTAATACCTACACATACATTTGGTGGTTAAATCTATGAAATTCCACTAATTTAGCAGCTCTTTCATAATTCCAAACCAAATATTAACTAACACAAGAAACAATCTTCCAAAATGTCGAACACTATTTTTAAGAATAGGCCAGTCGTATCAATATTTATTACTAATTAGAATAAATATAATTATATTTTTATCCAGTATAGTTTTATATCTTTAAGAACAGAATAGAGGGAATTTTCCAAAATTTGGTCGAATCGATTGTTAATCTTAAATTAAGAATAAGATTATTTCATTTAAAGTCCTTCTTAACATTTAACAGGCAAGAATAAGATCTACTTGTTTAAAGAAAGATTAATATTTAGTTTAATGTTAGTTTTAGCCTTGACAATATTAGGTTAATCATCTTGTTCAACTGTACTTAATTTTAAGCTAAGAAATATATTAAGGATACTAAATCAAAATAAATCAACTGCAAGAACAGTTTCCACGTTATTTATAATGTACCCAGGGAATATCCTCGCATTTAATCGGTTAACTAAACCTAGTAAAAACCATTAACTTTATTTTACTGTTATCTATGAAAATAACGGTCCAATTTCACTTAATTTATCGTGTGTACCTACGTAAATTTTTTATTGCAGTAATCCTTGTATTTTTTCAGTTTATCAAGGAGGCTTATCTCACTTACCCCTATCATTGCTGTGCTTTTAAATTCCCCCACACGCAGAATCCCAAAGAGTATGAGAAATATACCAAGTTCATAAGGCAACAGCATGAGCACTGTCAGAAGAAAAATAATAGTGTAAGTATTAATATAAAAACAACTATGTTTATTAGGTAAGTAGGGATATTCCATGTCATTAAATAAATAAATTATGGTAACGAATGGTTAGTAAAAGGAAATACGAAGTAGATGTCTTCTTTTCATTTTCTGAAATGGTCTACATAATTATCAGTGTCTCCATTCCCTATTTGATTAGGAACATGTAACAAACTATTTCGGCCAGGCAAAGGCCCGTTGTTCCTAAATTAATTTTCTTAGAATTACTGCGGAACGACTAAATTTTGGTTTATTAGGGAATTTACCCTCGAGGTCAAGAAGATTATTACTTATAAGATACTTGAGATTATTTTGGTTACTACATGGTAACGCTTCAATAGATAATCGATTTATTTTAATTAAATTATGTACGTTGTTTGGAGAAATAGTTAAACTTCCAAGATACTCTTTATAAAAACAGAAGTATTTTTCCTATTTTACTAGAACGTTTTCTAGATTGCTTTTATTCTATGAATTTTTAACCACCAACCTTAGGTAATTACTCCTTTTATTTCCAGGGTAGGTAAAATGTCGAAAATGCTTAGATGGGTTAAAACAAAATAATTAGATACTTACATAAATTGTTAAATATTAAGATAAATAGCTGTTTTAGGTAATTTTTTTATTTCGTTTTTGTAAATATCAAATAATTCATATATTTCTTTCTCGGATTCCTCATCCCTTTTCTGGATTCTGAAGGTAACTACTAATTCCTTGGTCTGACTTCTGAAATAGTTTGTTGCAAATATCATTAAGTGTGGTATCTCCAGTTTGTGAAGCATTTATAATGTTTAGGTCGTATATATATCTAATATTTTTTCGGGTGGTATGTTAAAAGTATTTTCCGAATTTATTAATTTTGTTGCCATTAGTTTTTTATGTTCTCTATCAAGCACTGTATTGAAGTCACTGTTATTCTGCAAGATGTCCTGTGACGAAGAAATCACTATATTACTTACTCTCTAAAAATGAATTAGTCAAAAATGTCATAGCGAAAAAGCATCCACTAATAATTCTCGCCAACAGCTATTTGTATACGGGACATTTAGCAGTCAATTCCTTTGAAATATTATACGCTGAATCCGAAAATATCTCAAAAACTGCTTAACTTTGATAGTTTTTGACGGTCTTTTCGGATTCAGGGGACAATTTTACATAAGCATTGGCTGGTAAATGCCCGGGATACAAATAGAGTATGATATTGGATGTATGTCCAATGATGGAAATTTACATTTTTTACCAATCAGTAATTGGACACTGGCCATTTTACTGTTTGTTTTCAGAATTAAAATTAAAACGCATTAAAGTGACAATGTTTAAACTTGTACACTTTTTAGAAATATTTTTTATTGTAATTTAAACACAGCCCTGCTCTGTATGCAGCGTCATCTAACGATTTGACTTTAAGGGAAATATGTCCTTTGACCTCCAATGTTTCTCCAATTTATTGGTCTCTTCCAAATAGTAAACTACAACGTTTAGTCATTGAAAATCATGTTCGACGATTTATTTTTAGAACAAGCAAACTTTAAAGGAAGAAAACAAAGAGGATGAAGACGTGTGGACGGCGATTGAAGCGGATGCGGAAGTCGCCTCCATGGAGGAGATGTGGACCCAGGGGGACGAAGTTTTCCATAATTCGACTAGTTCGGTCCCGGTTCCAATTACGGCCTTCTGCGGAGAAATGTACAGCAACTACCACGAGGTGAGAGAACAATCAGTTTGTTTTATAGGTGCGGAGATAAAGCGAAACGACGAAAACAGAACTAATGATATGCCGTTAAACAATGTTATCACTAGAGTGGAAATTATCTTTATTTATTGACAAAAGAATTTATGGCGTATGTGTTTATCCATTCGCCGAAATAAGCTTTTACTGTAAATTGCAAGATAACGATGACAAAGAGGTTTGCAATTACATATATATCGTAATTCAAATTTATTTTATTGCTATAAAAAGACTTTTTTAATATTTACTATTGTTTTGCAATGGTAACAAAATTATTGTTATTTCCCTTAAAAAGAGGGGGAAAGGGCCAGCGCTCTCCTTGGCGAACATAACTTTATAATCCACAGTCTGTGTTATAATCTTATGGATTTCACTTGTGCGAGTGAAGTGTGGTAAAATCTAGCATGATAAAAATATCAAAAAGATCACTAAGAAAATTAAAATTTCGACGTTTTCTAAAAGAAATATTTAAGGTCTATTCTATAAACGAAGCAGACTTGTTGTTTATAAAGTGAGTTCGAATTTTTTTTATTTTGTACATAATATAATATGAGTTATTTTTTTGTTATAATAAATAATTTGTTTTAATGTTTTATAAACATAACGTAAATTTACTTTATAATTCAAGCAGCGTTTGTAGATAAATAATTTTTATAAAAATGATCTTTTTGCCGTAACAAAAGCAATTGTTGGACGAATAGGGATCTTTACTTTATTAAGGGCCGGTTTATCAATGTCCAGTTAAAGTTGCAGTTAGTTATCTAGTAGATAATTTTCATGGTTACCATTAAGACAAACTACTTTTTTTGTTATATTTATTAAAAAATTGTATGAGTGTATGCTTTTAATTAAAACATTAATGTTTTTAAATCAAAGACATTCCAAATTATCAAGGCAAAATTAGACAGGACATTTTTCGACTGACTGCAAACTTTTAAATTAAATTCTGAATTGGCCAAAAATCAGTAGGCACGTGATCTTTCAATGAAAACTTAAAATTTAATAATGTTAATCAATGTGAAAGGGAGAATATTCGCTCCCCGAATCGGAAAGTTATTTTAGGCCTTGCCTAATAAAATCTTAAATTTAATATCAAGGTTGTAATTTAATAAGAATAACCAAATCAACCAAAATTTATCACTTTGCAGTTTTCAAGACGCACAAAAAGTAAACTAAAGTAATCCTCAAATACATATTTTAAAATTTTTATCTAGACTGTAGTCGATTCTCGTGTGCTTGCATGAGTATTAGCGGCCGTTGCTGCTAATACATTAATTTCATTATTTGCTCGACGAACTCTTTTTTTCGGTTGAACACTCCCGTTTGTAGTAAACTGCTTGACTGTACGGTGAAATGAAGTACGCGATCGAATTTTATCCGGAAAACGCTGAGCGTAGATATTAACAGCATCATCAAGATTCCTGCCTGCTTCTCCATAAATCAAAATCATTTCTATTTTTTCTTTCGCTGTTAAAAAATCCATTATTAATAACTGCTTAACGAAAGGAGGTCTTTTTGTTTGCAAATTAATCTTCGAACTAAATTGATTAAATGATGCTAAACTATCTATAAATAGTTTCTTTATATATACCTCAATAATAATTATTATTTATAAATAATACTTTTCTTAACCTTAAATGTGGTATTTTTATTAAAAATAGTACAATAATCCTTTAAATTAAAGTATTTAATGCTGGCAGGAAAAAGTGACCATGTGCGCAATTGATAATTATCACCGAATGATATAATGTATAAAACTTAAACCAAAGGAAACTTAAATATTAGTTAAAAAATCGTGGGTACTTAAAAAATCAGATTTAATTTAATAAGAAAAAAGTGATATTTTTATAGAAAAATTATTGCAGAATCGTATACAGAAGAAAAATCGAACAAAATTGTTTTTTTTTTCATTACAGCGCCATCTATTGCAAATATGAAAAAATGTTTTAGACAAAATCTACCTATTTTTAGTCGAATGATCCGAATCTGCAATAAAAAATAGGGTGTTCCATTGGAAATTTTAAAGTTACCCCCTGTTCCCCCTATAAGGAGGAGAGTATGACGACCAATTTTAGTGCTGATTGATTTCCCCCCTCATTCAATTTCGTCCTGCAGGTGAAGTGTTTTCCTGCTCCGGACGCTTTCAACCCGTGCGAGGACCTGATGGGGAACTGGGCGCTCCGTATCCCCGTGTGGTTTACGTCTCTGACCGCCGTGATCGGAAACCTCTTCGTTGTCATCGTGATAGCAACGTCGCATTTTCGACTCACCGTTTCCAAATTCCTGATGTGCAACCTCGCCTTCGCTGATCTCTGCATCGGCATACATTTGCTCATGATTGCCATTGTGGATTCCTGTTCCATAGGGACCTATTTCAACTCCGCCATCGATTGGCAGGAAGGTAAGTTTTCTTTTGTTTTTTTTTATCCTCAAACAAAAGCAGCAAAGCTACAAAGATATCCTGAGAATAAAAATTGAAATCATAGAAGAATATACATGCCCACAAGAGCATGTGGCGCCACCTTGCGGCCGAAATGTGAAGTAGTAAGCTCGAATCGGCTTTGGCTATCTTAATGCAAAGATACAAAAGTATTAAATAGTTTCTTGTCGAGGTTTAACAGTATAATTATAATTGTTCTAGGCACAAATTTAATTAAGCACTCGCTCGCAAGTTCGTTTGTGCCTAAATTAAATTCGTGAATAAAATAGAGTTTATCAAAACTCCATACATAATATACTATTAAAATTAATAACATTTTAAAGAATATAATTTATCATAGCCCTTCACAAAAACTATATTGTATACCTGTCATTTTCAAGAAACACCCGCTTTCAGGAAAATGAAGATCAAAATATTTGTTTGCTTAAATTGACTTTTGGTTGGATTTTTATAAATGTTTAGAGTTTTGTTTACTTACATTTAAGACAGGCAGTGCACTTTTTAATTTTTTTACGTATTCAGAAAAATGTGTTTAGCTAGCTTTATATATTTCCATTACCAATTTGAAATCCAAAATTTAATTCAATAAAAAAAGTTGTTATCAAAATAATTTGAAATAAAATGTACTTAGTTCAAAAACTTTTATTTTATTTTTTATTAAAAATTGTATGCGTTTTTTTGAAATATGTATGTTCGTTAAGTTACTTTTTAAAAGAAACCATTCCGATTCTTTGTTAATACCATTAATATTTTCTTTTAGTCACTGTGTTAGTGAATTAAACTCTAATTTATAAAAAAGTGATAGTGTATAAAAATCATTTTAAGTATTTTTTTTAACAAAAACTAAAAAAAGTAACGAAATAGACTTTGGCATCACAACGGACAGGGGTACACAAAGGACTTAATCAGATAACGTAAAAAAGAAACTATATAGGGTGGTACGATTTTAGAGTAATGCATAAACAAAATCCCTTGTAGTGGTGCTCACTTGCAGAATAACAACTTAGATTTCTAAATTGTAGACACCCTTTTTCTTTGACTATAAGCTGATGAAGGTCCCTTTTAGTACTTTTATATCCACTTTGTTGTCGAAAAATTCTATTGCGTTACCCTAAATTCCATTGCGTTACCATAAGGTAACATAGTGGACTCGGTAACGCAGTGGACAAAGTTTTGTAAAACCATATTTAAAAAATAATAATAAGACATTACAGTCATTAATTACCCTCAATGAGCTTTAGTGCCCTAAAATAAACATAAACATGAAAAATAGTATTTTTTCTTACCTTATTTTTATTATTTTTTTGAGTAACTTAGCGGACAAACAATTATTACATTCGCGTTACCCGCACCTGTTTCAACCGATATCTTCTTCCTGATTGAATAAATAAATTTAGCTGGGTAATGTGTACGTCCGAACATCATTTGTTGATCACGTGAGTACCAAAAAAGTTGCCATATATATGTTTTTTTTTTAAGATTCTATCGGTAACGCGACGGACGTAACGCAACGGAAAAAATGTCTGGGACATGAGTCAAATTTAAAAGAAGTAGATAAAAATTATTATTTTATATATAAATTGTTTACTGCATTAACTAAGGATGTTATGGATTGCTATAAAGCAACACAAAGTTCTGCTTATTCAATATTAAAAAAAACATGTATGTAAGTTTTATAAAACGCTAATGGGACATGCGAAAATGTGTGTTTCACAAGTTTCAAAATTAAAATAAATATATTCTGAAATAACTAAACAAACATTTTCTGAAAGAGTTTACTAAGGGCTTGTTAGGCTTTCACTTGGTTTTTAAATCAATAAGATCCGATAATTTTTAACAAAGTTATTGGAATTCAAACTTACGGACAGCGGAAGGCGGGTGTTTTTTGAAAACGACCCATACTCGTAATCCTGTTTAATTAAAGGTAAAAAGCAACATATCCTGTTTAATCAAAATGTTTCATGTCGCCAGGTGTGTTTTTTTTTCGATTACTCGCTTCCATAACGTATATAGAATATGTAGGCAAAGAGATTTTTCGATATTCGAAATATTGGAAATATACACATAAAGCTGAGAAAGTAAAGCTTCGTGTTATGCATACTTTTACTTCCAAACGAGTTTTTTTGAAAACTGCATTTTTAAAGTTGCTCTTTCAGTGAATATCAATATACTTTTAGGCCATGGAAAAGTTTATTAAAACAATAACAATACAGTAACACATTTGTTGCTATCGGAAATTCATCTCATGTGCTTCTTAAAATATTTTCGACCATATTCAAGTCGATAGGGTTAAAATCAGGGGAGTTTGGAGGCATCCTTAAGTTGTAATGTTGAATAATATTTATACATAAAATATATAATTATATTTTTAAATCATCCATAAAATTACGAATTTAATTCCACTTAAAAGTTAATTAACGTTTTTGTAAAATTTTTACCAAACGAAATAAAAAATCTTCATGGTTTAACTGATAATTTTCCAATTATTTCCGTTGATCGACAATCATTTGCTTTCCAACGAACAATCGAATTTTTTATGAATATTTAACAAATAATCTGGAAACCAAACCAAACTACTCAACACACTACCATAACAATGCTTTTAGCAATACGGGAAGTTTGTTTTCAACAAAACAAGAACTTTTATTAACAGAACAGCTGCATAAAACTTTTGCAACTCAAAGCAAAGTTTAAAAGAAGTTTCCCTTTTTATATTACGATTTTATAAACTACATGTCTTTATTAATTATACAGATTTCAAAAAAATTAAACAACATTTTATTACTACACTCACAGGCAAAATAATCGATCCACACAAATTTTCGATGAATTTAAATCGCTAATAACTTTTTTATTTGATGTCGGATTTAAACGAATATTAAAAAAATTGTAGATAAATTAATGGATAATCGCTCACATTTTAAAAAATTAATAAAAAATAGACGTACGTTTATAATATACAGGTTTAAACAAAAATATATTTTTTACCATAAGTTTAAGAAACTCTGTAGAGTGGCAAAACCGTATATTGTTCTAAATTAAGTTTTATTTATCAAGTCACATCTATTCTTAACGGTTTTGTTTTTGGTTCACCTCGAAATATTTATTTTTGTGAAAAATATGGATTTTTTAAAAAATCATTGCAATTTCCAATATTTTTCTGTATGAAGAACTAAGGTTGATATGGTCCATCCATATGCTATAGAGAATGACAGTGACAGTTTTATTGAATCATCCCATACTTGGACATGTCATAAACGGCTTTCAAAAGCTATCAAATTGTTTTTTTGCGAAATTTTGAGGTGTCTTCTTACTTTAAAAAATGGATATGTCTCCGACTGATGTTGCCAGAGCCACTAATTTAATCCAGGATGGACGGTCACAGTATTACGTGGCAAGTGTTTTAAACGTCACAAGAAGTAATGTACAAAGGGCAACATCAGTCGGATACATTTTTAAAAGTAAGAAGACAACTCAAAATTAACACATTAATTTACAAAAAACAATTTTGTAGCTTTTGAAAGCTGTATATGACATGTCCAAGTATCATCCATAGGCTATGGATGGACCATAGAAACCTTAGTTCTTTATACAAGAAAAATATTGGAAATTGCAATGTTTTTTTTTTAAATTCATATTTTCCACAAAAATAAATATATCGAGGTGAACCAAAAACAAAACTGTTAAGAATAGATGTGACTTGATAAATAAAACTTAATTTAGAATAATATACGGTTTTGCCACCCTACAGAGTATTTTAAACTTATGGTAAAAAACATATTTTTGTTTAAACCTGTATATTATAAACGTACGTCTATTTTTTAGCATTTTTTTTTTAATTTGAGCGATTGTCCAATAATTTATCTACAATATTCTTTAATATTTGTTTAAATCCGACATCAAATAAAAAAGTTATTTGCGATTGAAATTCATCGAAAATTTGTGTGGATCGATTATTTTGCACGTGAGTGTATTTTTAACCTGAAGTTAAAAAATCAAAATCAGCAAAATTTAACTTTTGATGTGGAATGACCCATATGTATTTAATTTTACATTCTTATGAAAAAATACACATTGCGGGCGACATAAAATCGATAATATACTAAATACTAAATTGATACGTCACTTAAATGACTTCATTGAATTTACTTCTGCAAAATGATGGATCCCTTGCGTTTGATGTTTCTCATTCATGTGAACTATTTTTTAGGTCATGGATGCAAAGTCGTGGGATTTTTGACGATATTCGGCAACGTGCTCTCCGTATACACGTTGGCGATCATCACCACAGAGCGATGGTACACCATAACCTGGGCGATCCACTTGAATCGCCGCTTGAAGTTGAGAAGTTCCGTGAGGGTGATGATTGCAGGGTGGATATGCGCCTTATTTATGGCTTCACTGCCGCTTCTGGGAGTAAGCAATTACTCGAAAACAAGCATCTGCCTGCCACTGGAAAACAAAGGCAAAGCCGACGCCATTTATCTCTCCACTTTGTTGGCTTTCAATGCTTTAGCTTTCGCGCTCATCTGCGTGTGCTATGGATCAATGTACAAGTCTATCCAAGAGGGCGGGAAAACTGGCTCCACTACAGCTTCAGTGCGGTCAGACTTGACGGTGGCCAAGAGGATGGCTTTACTGGTTTTTACGGATTTCGCATGCTGGGCCCCCATAGCATTCTTCGGCCTTACAGCCCTGCTGGGATATCCGCTCATCACCGTCACGCAGACCAAGATACTTCTGGTGTTTTTCTACCCTTTAAACTCCTGCGCTAATCCCTGCCTCTACGCGCTCCTCACACAGCAATATAGAAGGGATTTTTTCATCCTCATGGGGCGATACGGTTTGTGCAAAGACCGTGCGGAACGCCACAAGGGGGCCATAGGGGGAAAGCCTTTACCATACGGCACCGCCCCTCAATACAAGCGCAACAACGACACTCTGAAAAGCGTCGTAGGCGGTAACAGCTACAGAAACTCCATGATGACCACAACGGTATCAGTGGATGTGCCCATAACAAGGACGTTATCCAAACACAGTGCGCGTTCGCTAAGAACAGTGCCTGAGTACGCGTTGAAGGACGTTAATAACTTTGAAATTATAGGCGGAAAAAGTTTTCACACCACGGAAAACTTGTAAAGTTTTTGTTGAGCGCAGCTTCCGTCCCAAGTTGTTTCAAACGTGTGTGACTGTTTTCCCGTGAATTCCCTTATCAGTATTATACATATTATGAATAAAGTATTATGTTTCCCAATAGATTTGTTTCATTTTGAACTTGATTTCCAGTCTCCAAGTTGCGTAACATTGGAAATTCCTTCCCCAGAATCGGAGGATCTACGAAAACTATGACCTGTGTACTCCTCAGGATTTTTAAGTTTTAGATTTGCAGCTATTTGTGCAGGCATTTCACCAAGTGTATTAATTCTTACACATTGGGTAGTGCATGACATCGCAAAGAGTCTTGATGTGTAATTTTTACTTTCCGAAATTTTCACGATTACCAAATTTTCTTTATCTTCTATATAATCAATCATTATCTTTGAGAGGTCTTCTCGTCACAAGCACCAGCCAACCCAAAAATAGCGGCAACTTTTATTAAAAGGTGAATTTCATCTGGTGCTTCTTTAATGAATCTTGAAATGTCATCTTTCTCAAAAAATTTGGAGTTTTTTGGTCGGTATCCCACATTTTTCTTTTTTATTTATGATGTTAATTTATAATATAGACTCAAACCTTTTAGGACACTTTTTAACATGGAGTACTTACTCCACAAAGTGTTTGGCTGATATGATTTTCTTAAATCCGCAAAATAGGCCAGAAACAATTCTTCCTTAAAACTTTGTTGCACCAGTTTTCAAAATGTTTAAATTGTTTCTCATATTTTTGACAGGATTTCGCTGGTAATAAATTCTCATTTACAGTATTTGCTGCCTCCAGGTAGATCTTCTTCCAAAATGTTCATTCCAATTTCGCGAAAAATCTATAATATATTATGACGTTTCAATTTGTTTGACACTTATTGACATGGAAACTAAGTAACTAACTAAATTTTGTCTGAAATGAACATACCTACTATGCTCCACACCTCAAAGTCCCACCACGTGACCACGTACGGAACGCAGTCTTTTGAAAATTTGGCATTTAAGGCTTTTCAGGTTATGTATCTGTCAAAGTATAGTCAATGAAAGAAATATTATTTATAGTGTTACCGCTTATGTTTAAGGGTTTAAAGTTAATAAATCTTTATAGTATCACAATAACAATGGTTGGTTTAAGAATTTAGGAATATAAATACTGCATTTAATGAAATTCCAAAGTATGGTGCAATATAAGTGATATTTTTGTGCATTGGGTCTACATTTCTCCATAAAATAGTTTTAACTAAACAGCATTTATTAAAAAAATCTAACTTCTCTATTATGAAATAAGAATATCTGTATCAAAGGTAGGTTAATGTATTAGAACAAAAAATATTATCTAATTTTGTATTTTAAGGTTATAAAAATCTATTTTGACCAAAATAAATAAGTGGATTATTTTGAAGAGGGTGTTAATATGGTCATAAATAAATATAGGTATACTAAATAATTGTTGAATATGGTTTAAATTAAATTGAAGCTTTTATACTTCTAATGATAAAACTTGTGCATACCTCTCGGCATACCTACTTTAAGTAAGATTATAAGAAAACAAACAATTTTTAGAGAAACTTGCAATGTGAAAATATTTAATACTCCCATGACATGTGATTAATTAAAATTTTTAAAGTTATAATGATTTTTTGATGTAAATCAAATTCAGTCGAAGCTTTTAAACTATTTGTATTGACAAAACTTTATGTAAGTACACTTTAAGCTAGATAAGAAAAACTACCACATTTTTAAATACCATATTATACAGTCTTTTAAATAATCCAAAATACTTTACTTTATTTTGGTGAAAATAAATTTTTCTAACCTTAAAATTACAAAATTAGATGATATTTTTGTTATAATATATTAACCTACCTTTAAAACAGATATTCTTATTCCATAATAGAGAAGCTAATTTTTTTAATAAATGCTGTTTAGTTAAAATTATTTTATGGAGAAAACTAGATATTTGGACCAAATGCACAAAAATATTACTTATTTGGCACCATACATTTTAGAATTTCATTAAATGCAGTATTTATATTCTTAAATTCTTAAACCATCCATTGTTATTGTAATATAACATATGTTATAAAGATTTATACATTTTTAACGCCTAAACATAATATTATTTTTTTCATTGACTATACTTTGACAGATACATAACCCGAAAAGCCTTAAATGCCAAATTTTCAAGACTGCGTTCCGTACGTGGTCACGTTGAGGGACTTTGAAGTGTGGAGCATAGTAAATTTTAAAAGCAAATGCGTGCGGATAAGTGTTACTTTGCGCACGCTAGTAGAAAAAATAAAAAAAAGAAAATTCAATTTTTAAACCTTTTATTTAAAAAAGGTATGGGGCATTCCACGTTACTCGGTAATTTTTTGTCCCGCCCGTCACAATTAAAAATTGTGAGTAAAAACCACAAGTTATAAAATTAATATTTTATTATATTATTTTTATTGTGCTTATAACTTATTAAAAGCATAATAAAACAATATTTTAAAATAAATTTTATAACGTGTAGTTTTTACTCACAATTTTTAATTGTGACGGGCGGGACAAAAATCCCCGAGTAACGTGGAATGACCCTTATTTATTAATTTGATTAAAAATTTACAAAATAATGTAAATCAAACAAAAATTTCTCTGTAAGGTATATGTTCAAAGTATGCCTTTACAACATTATGAAGCACAACCTCAAGGGTTTGAGTGATTCCAGGTCCGACTTCCTTCATTACTTCCTCCCAGTTATCATTTAACACCTTGTTCATATTATCTCCCAGAAGTTTGTCACCATTGAAAAGGTTTAAAAACTGGAAATATGTTCTTTTAAGTTTCATATCCAGCTTGTGTGTTTCTATTTGTGCGTATTGTTTATTATTTTTTTCAAATAATTTCCAGTTCATATCGTATGTGAAATCTCCACCACCTATAAAAGCATTACGTTAATTGATTTTTGAATTGTTCCCAGAATTATAAATTTATTTATCTTACTGAAGGTAATATTGCAATTTCCATCTCCGTTTATTGGAAGGACCAAAATTTTACCATTAATTTCATACTTCCCAATGAAGTTCAATGTTGCTGACATTTTTAAATGGGCTTTGTTGGTTTTTGTATCAAAACTAAAAAAAAATAATATACATACAAGGCATTTAATTGCATTTTGGTTATTTGCATATTAATAGGATAGTTTGTTTGAAATATCATTAATAATGCTAATATTGATTACCTTGAACTATGTTTAACAATTTACAATTAATAACAATGGAATTAAAAAAACTTACTTGGTCTCTTTAAATTCAACACCATCCAGTCCATATACATTTAAATCCTTCAATTTTAGTTTTAAATTTGGTCCAGTGTCTACTTCTATTAAAGGCAAGAATAATGGGATTAAAGAGGGAGATTTAATTTTTTTGTCTCCTAAAATTTAATTTTTAAAAAAAGGAAAATATAAATAAAAAATATTACCTTTAGAAACAAAGGGAAAAGCTAATTTAGTTTGTTTTAAAGCACAATCATTAAGATTTGGATCATCTAGTTTACACGGCTTTATGTAGCTTGCTTAAATATATAAAACATTAAAATACATATTATTTATTATTATAATGCAGTCCTTACGTATATTCAATGCAGTTGCAATGGAAACCAAGCAAAGAGACGAAATCACAAACTTTATCATCTTGTATATGTTTCGGGAATACAGACAATAACTAGTTTGCTTTGGCTTATAAAGAGATTTTATGTAAAAACCAGTTTATTCATTTTTATGATTTATTTTAATGATTAATCAAAACCAAGCTCATAACTCAAACAAGTGTTTTTATCAGGAAGTATATTTTTTACATGAATGAACCTTAAGTTAAAAGATCAAATTAAAAAATTAAAACCAATAAAAATGTTACAGCAAAATTTAAATTTTGATGTGAAATGACATATATGTATTTAATTTTACATTAATTATTTTTTACAATGTTTTAAAAGTCTAAACCCTATCCTCCGTGACTGTTACTCTTTCTAGGTTAACCTATATGTTTTCAAATATCTGAGGTAGTAAAAGCATACCAAAAATATCAGTTCACTAAGTAAATTAAACACATCCAAAGCAATCGAATCAAATGTAAAATATTATTAAAAATTAAAAGAAATAATTTTTATAACCATTTATGTAGGTGTTACAAAAATTGATTCTATCCTCCGTGATTCTTTTTTTGCTTTAAATTGTATGCAACGGATGTCGCTTTAATCATTTTAAATAAGCAAAAACCTCTGTTTATTCCTGAAGATCAGTTAGAATGTATATGCAGATGAGAGTGTTGCTGTTTTATAATTCAAAAGTTTAAGTTCATTAATTCGCTATTTAAAAACCTCTCCACCGTGAAGTGTAATATCTATTTTTTTATAAATATTTTATGTATGTACAATTGTATTTTTTAAAAATATTAAGGTCTTAAAAGATACCATAACTTATTTCAAATATATGTATATTTGAATATATAAAGGGATGTTTTAAAAAAAACATACGAAATCCTAACCTCCGTGAAGCTCTAATATTCAAAATGTATGATTTCTTAAAATTCTTGCATTAGTGCAGAATCACTTATGTTATCTTATTACTAGACCTGGTGGCTTCCAAAAAAACCATTCTAGACTAACAGTGAAACAATCAAAAATAAAAAATAATCATTTACACTTACCCCATAAGTATTGTAGGCAACATAAAAATTCATAAAACAAAAATCTATTTATATATTAATTTAATTTACTTCCGATAAAATATTTACAAAATAACATAAATCAAACAAACATTTCTCTGTAAGGTATTTGTTCAATGTAGGCCTTTACAACATTATGAACCACAACCTCAATGGTGTGGGTGATTCCAGGTCCGACTTCCTTCATTACTTCCTCCCAGTTATCATTTAGTACCATGTTCATATTGTCTCCCAGAAGTTTGTCACCCTTAAAGAGGTTTTCAAAGTGGAAATAGGCTCTTTTCAGTTTCATATCCAGCTTGTAGTTTTCTATTTTTCCGTATTGTTTATTATTTTTTTCATACAATTTCCAGTTCATATCGTATGTGAAATCTCCACCACCTACAAAAGCATTACGTTTATTGATTTTTAAATTGTTCCTAGAATTATGAATTTATTTATCTTACTGAAGGTAATATTGCAATTTCCATCTCCAGTGCCGGTTTAACAGGGGTTTTTTGGGGACTATAGCACCGGGCGGTAAATATTTTTGGGGCGGTACCGCGTACCGCCCATAATTTAAAAAAAAATACTTAATCGTTAGAATTTAGAAAAAAAATTATTGCGACACTGCGTCGGCGGATACAACGGATACAAATGAGAAAAATGTTGTTAGAGTTAAAGCAGCTTCTCCATCAGAAAAACTTGATTTATTGGAAACGAACTTTTTGGATAGACGTTTTGCAAAGGGTTAATGAAACCAATAAAGCAGTCCAAAAACAAAATATGGATTTAAGCACAAATGCTCATCTTTTGTCATTTTTAGTTGAGAACTTTGATTTTTTACGTGATATCATTTTGATCATTACGAGGAAATTAACAGGAAACAAAATTATGCTCAGAAGCGGATAATCATAAGAAAATTACAATTTGAAGAAACTAATTCAGAGGCAAGTTTAAGCAAAAAAGAAACAATGCGAACAATATGTTTTATTTTAATAATTGACAATCTATAATCCAAAATCATTTGTCGATATGATAGCTAGAAATCTGGCACAAACAAATTTGAATTTTTGTTTAATCTAAAAGCATAAATCTTCGTGGAGGATTTGGATGAGTTTTTTCCTCAAAAATGTGTCCAACTCAAGAAACTGATAACTTCCCTTTCGGAAATAAAAATAGAAACTCCATTGGAATTAGTATAAGTTTTATACGAAAATAAATTAATATCTTCATTTCCGAATATTAATAATTGTCTGCGATTTTTTTTTTATAATGGTTTCAAATGCAAGTGGTGAATGATCTTTTTCTGCTCTAAAAAGGGTAAAGAACTACCTAAGAAATACAATTCCCCAAGAAAGATTTAACTCCTTAGCAATTCTGTCCATTTATCAAGACCTGCTAGATGAAATAAATGTAAAGTGTTATAAAACAATTTGCTACTATAAAGACTTGAAAACAACTTTTAATTATTAGTATTAGGATTTCTCAATATTTATTAAAACCAAAGAATAATGTTTTATTTATTTATAACTTTTGATTAGTTTTTCTTAGTACTTAGTATTGTTTATATAAACCAAAGAATGTTTTATTTTTTAATTAGTGCTTTTGATTAGTTTTTATAATTTGTTTATAAAGGCTCATTTTATATTTTATAGGATACTAAGTTTACTGTTAGATACCAGCCTAACCAACCTAATCTTCCACTTGACGTGAGAAAGTAAAACTTAAAAATTTAAAAATGTTTTTAAAAAAGTAATATTTTAAAGCATTTGGCGTTGTGTTTTTGCCAGAACCGGGCGGCGAACTAACTTAAACCGGCACTGTCCATCTCCGGTTATAGGAAGGACCAAAATTTTACCATCAATTTCATATTTCCCAATAAAGTTCAATGTAGCTGACAATGCAAAATGAGCTTTGTTGGCTTTAGTGTCAAAACTACGAAAAAAGATTTAATAATTATTTAAGATAACATTTTATTTGTTTACCTACATATTAAAAGGAATGTTTTTTTAAATATAATTAATACTACTAATAATGATTTCCTTGATTTTATACTGTTGTTTTTGTAAAACACCAGGGACGGATCCAGAAAAATATTTTGGGGGGGTTTCAAAAAATATTTATGTACAATGTGGTCCACAATTGTGTGGAGAAAAACTGTTGGATCTTGTCTCCACATAACTTTTTTTTGCATGTGAGTATATAATAGTATTTCCACCAATTCAAACCCTGTAGCGTTCTCAAAGGTTGTTTGAGAAACGTAGGAAAAAATGTAATCACAAACTCGTTTGCATGAATTCCAAATTTAGAATAAAAAATGTAAAAAAAAATGTTGTGTACTACCCATTAGGTAGTCATAGAAAAAACTTTTTTAAAACTTATTTTTTGACCACTATTTTGTATGTTTATTAAATGAGTTAGTAATAGCATCTATTGGCTTAATTAAGTCTCATTTTTTATAAAAATAAAAATTGTAATTTATTCAATTTCGCGGTGGTGGGTGTTGAACCCCCAAACGCCCCCCTGAATCCGCCACTGCATTACACATTTAATTATGATAATTAATCAATTAATTATTTATTTATTTATTTAAGTATATTTGGTGTATTAAAAAACTCACTTGGCCTCTTTAAATTCAATACTATCAAGTCCGTGCACATTTAGATCCTTAATTTTTAATTTTAAATTTGGTCCAGTGTCAACTTCGATTAAAGGCAATAATAATGGGTTTAATGGGGGAGATTTAAATTTTTTGTCTCCTAAAATTAAAAAATTAAAAAATAAGAAATTATAAATAAAAAATATTACCTTTGGAAACAAGGGGAAAAGCTAATTTAGTTTGTTTTAAAGCACAATCATTAAGATTTGGATCATCTAGTTTGCACGGCTTTATGTAGTTTGCTAAAATATACAAAACATTAAAATACATATTAATAATTATTACCAATGCAGTCCTTACGTAAACTTAATGCAGATGCAATGGAAACCAAGCAAAGAGACGAAATCGCAACCTTAATCATCTTGTATCTGTTACTGGAATACTGACAATAACAAGTTTGCTTTGATTTATAAAGCATTTTTAATAAAATAAATAACAAAAAACTTTTTAGTGGATTGTTTAAATAGGTACTTATGTTATATTACGAAATATTAAGGTAGGTATTTGCCAAATACTATTTGGTAACAATAACAATAAGTTAAGCTTACTTAATTAATAATATTTTTCTGTTTATTTATCTTATCCAATATCATCCAAAGTCATTTTTATAAAAATGATTTTATTTTGTTCCACAAACAAAGCTCCCAACTAAGACTAATGCTCTTATTGCTATCTCCGAGGACGCTTTAAAACTATACCATAAAACTTAATGATTTTCAAGACGAGACCATCATAAAGAACCTTCTTGCCAAAAAGGGCCCATCCTAAATTTTAAAACCATATTAAAACCGTTTAAAACCTATTTACATTTTAAATATACTTGCAGCAGACTAAATTACCTTAAGAATTAATATTATTTATCCCAAAGTGGTTTTATTTCCAAAAAACACTTTTGTTTTTATAGTATTTCCCTTAAATGTTATATAATCCAAATTATAAAACCACTATATAACTTCCTAAAGAACTGCTACCGGCTTTTTTCCTTCTATTATATATATTAGACTGGGTCAAAAAAATCGACTATTTTTTTTGTAAAGTATATCGAAAATATTGTTTGGGGTGACAAAAAAAATTAAGGTGAAAGTTTGAGTCCATAATATTAATATTAGATTTTTTTTTCCCGAGCGAGTTTTTGTCTCAGAACTCCCAAATCATTGAGTTTAACAAAATTGACTTAAAAATATTTTTTGACGAAAATTGAATGCTCTACTAAAAAGGTTTAATTGAAATTTCCCGTCAGATGAACCGTTTTCTTAAAATCATGCCTTAAAAATTGGTATAGTTTTACAATTTGATCTTTTTACTTTGGAATTTTGTAATTCATGTAAAAATCAGTACC